CGAATCAGTTTGATATTAAAATAAAGGAGATTAAAAAAAAAGAAAAAAAGATCAGTTTAAATATGAACAAAAAAAAAAGGTGCACTATCTGTCGAAGATCTCCCGGGCTTCCCCCAACCTCACCCCCCCGCTTAAAAAAAATTAAAATAAAAAAAAGATATTCTGAGCTCGTCGACAATAGTAATCATCATTTCGTACTTTTTTTTTTTTTTTTTTTTTCAGGCTATAGAGCATATGTCATTGTATAGTATATTCTGACAAGGGCTTTTCTTAGATGAATGTGGCCATATATCATTGTATAGTATATTCTGACAAGGTCTTTTCTTAGATGAATGTGGCCGTCATTGCAGTCAGATACGTTCAGGAAAGTACGCAAGTTGTGGGTATGATGCTCGTGCACTCACAGCGCATGACATATATGCGATATCTATCTATCAAACGGCAGATCGGATAAGATTAGATAAGCTGGAAGATGGAAGACCTCGGTGGAGCGATATCCATTTGATGTTGTCTATCGAACGGCAGATCGGATAAGATTAGATAAGCTGGAAGATGGAAGACCTGATTTGATGTCAATAGAGGTGGAGTTGGTAGGGGGTAGTAGTGGGTGTTAGGGATAGATTGATGGATGAGGGGTTGGGTAAAAAGTCAGGATATTGCAAAAAAAAAAAAAAAAAAAAAGGGTTATCCAGATAAGATCGGATAAGGCCGAAGAAGGAAATCTCTGCGGAGCTAGACTACCAGCCGCGCCGCCCGGGTCACCCTATTTTCCCAGGCGGCCCGGCCGTGCAAGCACCAGGGAAGGACCTAGCAAAAAAAAAAAAATCATAAAATCGAAAAAATCCGAAAAAAAAAACGATGTTATGCAGAAACATAAACTGAACAACTTTTGCCTCAGGGTCACATCGAACAAATTTAAAATGTAAAATAAAATAAAAAAATAGTTTATTATTATTATATTTTTTTGGCCCGTCCGGGCAAGTGGACCCGGGCCACTCTGGTAGCCTAGTAAAATTAAAAAAAAAACTAGTTCATTATTTTTTTTTTTTTTGGCCCGTCCGGGCAAGTGGACCCGGGCCACTCTGGTAGCCTAGTAAAATAAAATTAAAAAATAGTTTATTATTATTTTTTTTTTGGCCCGTCCGGGCAAGTGGACCCGGGCCACTCTGGTAGCCTAG